GTCTGTCAGGTCTGTGCCCCTGGGAGCATGATGTCACCCTTCTCTGCCTCAGTTTCCACCTCTGTAAAAAGGAGCATGGGGAAAGGAAATGCACAATAGCTCTTGGGATGTGGCTGTGCCTAGAGAGCGGTGGCTCCAACTGAGAGAGGGCAGAATACGCGGGCATCGAGTTGTAGGTGCGAGTCTACAGACTTTGATGGAAGGTCGAGGGCTCCCATGGAGGTTAGGGCCCAACGTGGAAACTGGGTAAAACTTACTTGTGGGGAAGGAAGACAAGTTAGGGGAGTGATTTCTGGGCTGTTTGAGAGATGAAAGTTTTAGTGGGCTTGGGGTAGAGCGTGAGGTCATTGGCGGGATCTCTGGGTAGAGCCTGAGCTTCATTGGCGGGATCTCTGGGGTAGAACGTGAGTGTCATTGGCGGGATCTCTGGGGTAGAGCCTGAGCTTCATTGGCGGGATCTCTGGGAAGAGCCTGAGCTTCATTGGCGGGATCTCTGGGGTAGAGCCTGAGCTTCATTGGCGGGATCTCTGGGTAGAGCCTGAGCTTCATTGGCGGGATCTCTGGGGTAGAGCCTGAGCTTCATTGGCGGGATCTCTGGGTAGAGCCTGAGCTTCATTGGCGGGATCTCTGGGGCCTGGGCTGGGGAGAGGAATGAAGGTAGAGTCTGAAGTGACACAGAATAGGTGGGCATTTCTTCTACCATCCTGTGCTCACCGTTTCTGTCTTCTCTTATTTCCTCCCTGCTCATTTCCTCGCCTCTGTTCCTTCCTCCATCTCTCTCTCCCCAATCTTCCCGTTCCTTTCTCCCTCCCCTCTTACCCTCCCCTCCCCCTTTCCAGTCTGGTTCTGAAAAGCTGGCAAGGAGGGCTTGCTCTCAGGGCCATGTTGTGAGTGACCCATTTGTGTATTCGCGGTTTACCTACCTGTAGAAAATTTATACCCCAAACCTCCCGGTGCTGCAGGCAAATGGTTTTTAATTCAGCTCCACAAATATTGACTGTGCTCAGGCTAACTGAGTGTACTTTGTACTGGAGGTGTGGGAGAGATGCAAATGGGAAAACCTGGCCCTTGGAGGAGCCAGTGGGGGGTGGGCAGCCCGTGTTGGTATGAGACACATTCACCGTCTTCCTGGAAGATGCTGAAGGGCCCTCTGTCTCCCATGTACTCTGGGGCCTTTTCTCGCTCCAACAAAGTGCAGAAAGGGGCATTGTGCCAGTTTTGGAAGATCTAGACAGGACAGTACATTGTGGGCAGAATCTACAGGCATGAGGCTGAGCTCAGCCGTGCGGACTGGAGGAACTGTGTATACATTTGTCTGCTCGCTGCTCACAAAAAGGCATTAGCTGGAGCTGTGGGCTTTTGAGTCTGTTTCTTTCTTATTGATTTTACAAGATAGGTGGTGTAAGTGGGACTTCCTGCTCCACCAGGGTTTGCCTTTTATTTTTCTTTTCCTGCAGAGACTCGCTAAGCTTCCAGCTGTGCAGGGTTCACTCTTAGGAAAGCGATCAAGTCAGGTCCCATCATGGCAATGAGTTCAGTGCCATCTTCGGGAAAGCCGGGAAAAAGGGAGTGTAGAGAAATGAGATCTGAAGAGCGAGCAGGGGAATGGCCGTGAAGGCTGCTCCTCACTCATGTTCCCCTTGTGGTTCAGAAGAGGACCACACTTCCTGACCCCAATGTGATGCTGGGCAGCCTTGTGACAGGTCCTGGCCAATAAATGAAGCTCAGAAACCACATGTAGTCCTTGAGGGCTAGATGACTTAATTTGGTGAGACTTCCCAAGAGCCCCTGCTTCTCAGGCCTTGCAAACAGTATCATTCTAGAGCAGCAGTTCTTAACCTGTGGGTCTCGACCCCTTTGGAGGAGGTTGAATGACCCTTTCACAGGGGTCACATAAGACCATTGGAAAACACAGATATTTACATTAAAATTCATAGCAGTAGCACACTTATAGTTATGAAGTAGCAATGAAGCAATTTTACGGTTGGGGGTCACCACGACACGAGGAACTGTGTTAAAAGGTGGCAGCGTTAGGAATGCTGAGCGTCACTCTTTGGAAGGTGCTGCTGGCTTCAACTGTGAAACACACCCCAAGCGTAACCCTTCTGCCCATCCATGGCAGATAAATAGCAGGCGGAGCTGTAGCCCAGTTGCTTTAAGTCCCTGAAGGTAGGGATTCTCTGTCATTGCCTATGCAACTTTGCCTGTCTTATCGGGAACATTGGGGAAACATTATTTCGGGACTAGAGCTTGAACCCAGGACCTCATGCATGGTAGGCATGTGCTCTACCACCCAGCTCCTGAAGCCCGACTCTAGAGGCAGTCTTCCTCCTCTGGCTCAGCATTGAGAAGATACGACCCTTTTCCTTCTCCATATCTTATCAGGAAACCGGCCTTTGTCTTGTCAGTATCTGTAGGCCTGCACAAGGAAAGGGGCAAGGTGGACAACTACTTCGTCGTAGTTGGTGACTTACGCTTGACACGGGGGTAAGAATTGGAGCCTTTCCCCTCACTGCCAATGAGCTGAGGACAAGTGTCACAGACCATTGGCACAGGCCACGATCACACACGAGAGAGGGCCCTACCTTAGCCTCCTAGTACAAGAGAACAATGGCTCCTCCTCTGTGGCTCCTGTGCACTGTGTACCAGTCATTGTACAGGACACCAGAGTTGGGTGCAGGCCTGAGCTCTGTCTATAGGGTACAAGGCACAATGGCTGGAGGAGTGCGTGTGTGTGCACGTGTGTGTGTACGTGTGTGTGTGTGTGTGTACACTGCAGAGGAGGGGAGAGAGAACTCCAGTGAGAACTGAGAGGACACACCCGTCACTGTGAGAGCCATACTGTAATGCTGTATGCAGGGACAACCCAGGTTTTGAGGATGCAAGAACAGATGCCCAGTAAGTACATAATCAAACTCAAGCTTCCAAAACCCTGATTTCTTACTTCTTACTTGGACATGTAACTTCCAGGCTTGGCAGTGTTTTTTTGTTTTTTTTCCCTGTCCCAGGAGGAAGGACAGTGGAATGAAATGCATGCAAAACCTTTCTTTGCTGTACTTTGTAAAAAAAAAACAAAAAACAAAAAACAAAAAAAACCAAAACCCAGGGGTTAAAGAAGACCCTGGTACCAGTCCCCCTGAAGGCACTGTCTGGGCATGCCCCTGCAAGGAGCCCCATTCTCCTCCCACACACTTGGTGGGGAGGGGAACCTTGCCTATTCTTCACATCATATGGGGTACTCCCTGGAGGGTGGATCAGAGCAAGTCTAGCTTTGCCACCTTCAGCAAGCAAGGCATTCATAAACGAGGATAAATGGATACAGTACTGACTGGCTGCATAAATACCTCGCTGTAATTGACTGTCTCTGGTAATCACGTGGAGGTTGCTGACTTTCTCTGCTGGGGGAAAAAACTTCAGAAGTGGATCACGTGGAGGTTGCTGACTTTCTCTGCTGGGGGAAAAAACTTCAGAAGTGGAGGTTGCGTATGTAAATGCTTGGATCAGAAAGCAAGGTGTGTGTCTGTCAAATCTGAATCCATTACACTCAGATTCAACACGAATTTATCAATGCCTCTGTAAAGAGATGCATTGGAAGGAACAATATCTTATTTTTATTATGAATCGAGACAGTGCTGTAAATTCATTTAGTGATAAGTCACAAAAGTCAGGCTTTACAATAACATTGCTTTTTCTGGAATAAAAGTGATCTTACCACCGACCTGCACGCCCCTTATTGATCCACGGCCACCTAACCGCGTGGAGCCCAACATTTTAAAACATTTTACACAATGCAAGAAAGCAGCGCCATCTTTCTCTCTACCTGCCAAGGCTAAGCTGCCCCCTTCCCACACACTTTGTTGGACTTTTAGGGGCGCCTTTTCACATCCGGCCAGCTGGCTCTTATGCACTACGGATACATTACAGAGAGCTCTACCCGTTGGTGAGACAGGTTTAGAACCCACAAGGCCCCCGTTTTCCTCGAGGGGTGCGGGTGAGGGCGCGTGGCAGGAAGGCGCAGCTGTCGCCAGACGCTCGGTTGCAGTGCAGTTTCCCTAACCTTGACTTTAGGTCCGCTCTCTTTAACCTCTTTGCAAAAGGAGCCCTCAAGATGAGCTGCCCTGGGGGGTTAAAGAGAAAGGAAGGGAAGGAAAGGCCTGGTTGTGGTCATCGTGAAAAGGGCACTCGCTCTCAGGAGAGAGCTTGGGGCAACTTCCCCTACCAAACCGCCCAGGGATTTTCGCGTGCCACAGAGCCCCCATTCGCCACGGCCACCTAAGGTCTTCCCACACGCGAGGATGGGTGGCAGCGCTAAGGCGATCTTATTCGTTTTTTTGCCCCCTCCGGGTTCGGTCATGGAAACGTTCACAGCCTCGAGACGGCGGCGGCCCAGCTCCGCCCAAGGACTGAGGGCTTTTGGGACCCTGCGGGAGCGCGCTGCGCTCTCCGGACTCCCGGGGAAACCGCTGGACGCGACCACGTCTCGGGGAGGGGCGGGGGGAGGCGACGCTCCGCCCCGGCGCGGCCCCGCCCTCCCTGCTCGCCGGCGCCCTCCCCTCGCCGGGGGCTGCGAGTTGCGTTCGGTAAAACCCAGCCCTGGAATATATAGATCACTGGAGCGCAATGAAGTAGCTTTTGGTAGGGAGGGAGGGAGGGGGGCCTGGACAGTCACAGAGGCCAGGGCACGGCGGCGGTGGCACCTTCCTTCTTGCATCTCGACCGCCCGGCCCGTGAGGAGGCAGCGGCGGCCGCAGGCGCCAGCGGAGGAGGCGGCGGAGCATCGAGCCCAGGCGAGGCGGACCGGCAGGAGCGCGCGGCCGGGGCCACGCATCCCCACACTTGCACATCAACTCCCGCGCCTTGCACCCCGAGACCCGGGCTGGGGGCTCGAAGAGCCTCGGGGAAGCTAGCGGGGTCCAGCTCCGGAGCCCGGTCAGCTCCGTTCTGAGCCTCCCGGGCGCTGGTTCCCCGCGGCGGGGTCCCCGCTTCTGCGCCCCGGACGCGCCTCCCGGACAGCCGGGTCCCCGCGGCCAGGACAAAGCCATGAAGCCGGCGCTGCTGGAACTGATGAGGATGAACAGAATTTGCCGGATGGTGCTGGCCACTTGCTTGGGATCCTTTATCTTGGTCATCTTCTATTTCCAAAGTATGTTGCACCCAGGTAGGGGGCGCGTTAGCGTGGTTTTGTTGGATATTTTCTTCTCTCTCTCTCTCTCTCTCTGCTTTCTGCTTCTTCCAACCTCACCTCTTCCCTTCGGCCTCTTTTGGACTCCTTGCTGCCGGGATCCGCGGGTCACCGAGTTGGGATGGGAAGAGGGAAGGTGCGCTTCCTCTTCCTCTCCCAGCTCCAGGCTGTACGTTGAGACTGCCAGGAGAGGCGGCGTGTGTGACCCCCGTCTTTCTTTTCTTTTTTTCTTCTTTGTGTCTTATCTCTTGGCTAGGTGATAGAGAAAGGTAGGGGTTGTTGGAAGCTGCCGGGGTCTAGGGTTGGTGGGACGACAACAAAACTCGATCCCGGTTTCTCTCGAGGGCCGGGATGAACCGGGCACCGAGAGCCGGCTGCTCTGCGCCAGGAGCGCTGCCTCTTCCTGGTTGGGGCCCCCGGGCGAGCGGTGCAGCCGCCGGGGCGAGGTAGTGGGTCTCTGCAGCCGCCTGAGAAGCCCTAAGCTGAGCTACCACGTGTTCCAGGCTCGGCTGCGCAGAGCAGGTGTGGGGAGAGGGTGGGTGGGTTCCTGGCGCTTCCCTCCACCCGGCATGGGCACGATCTTTTGCCAAACATCCCAGGGTCTAGCTCCGCTGTGACCTTGCAGCTGGTGCTCCAGGGCCGGGCCCACCAACCTTCCAGCTCCAGACCCCGAGCTACGGACTGCAGAGCTTTTTGGGTCACAGTTTGGCCCCCTCGGCTCTTGGTGATACTTTGTGCAGTCCCTAGGCTCATCCCTTCTTCTTGGGTTCCGAGCACTCCGAAATCCACAGCACAGGAAGTCCTTCTGTTTATCCTCCCCAGCCTAGGCTAAACTAATTCTACATCTGCTATCAGGATAGGGAGAGCCCAGGCTCCCTTCTTCGGGGCTTCCAGAAGGAAAGTTTGGGACTAGAGGAGAGAGGGGCGCCCTGGAGTGCCCGGCTGTGCTCTATGGGTTCTAAGCCCAACAGGTAGGAGTTTCTGAGAAGGCTGGATGTGTTGTCACTCAGTCTTGATCTCGGGAGCCCTTCTCCCATTTATCCTGGATTCAGCAGACCTGTGCTGGGTCACGTTGGCATCGAGCTCCATTTTTTTGACGCTGCGGAGTTGCCACAGTAATAATTTACTTTTCTAATTGCAGGGAGGAGGGTGAGGGAAATAAGAGAAATAAGGTTGGCTTTGCCTCTCGCCTTAAGTGTGTGCTTATCATTTTCAGTAGATGATGCGCCCCGAATTCATCAAGCCGCCCGGCCTCTTGGTGGATGGTAGAACCATAAAGCTGTTCTTTGCATCAAACAGGCCGGGCTGCCTGCTGTGGGATTCCTTGACAGCACAGGGACAGACTAGCCCCTCTTCCTTGTGGAAGAGTTGTTAAGGCGGCTTGGCTGCCAAGAACATGGCCGTGTGCTACCACATGGAACCCCAGGACGCCCCAGCCAGGTCTGGTAAAAGATGGCTTTTGTTTGCAGCGTATTTTTAGTTTAATGTCAGCAAACTAAAGCTCTGTTTGTCTCCTCACTCAAACCTGTGGTTGTGAAACTTCTGGGGGAATTTAAAAATGGACTTTGCTGGCATTCTGGGTTGCAAGAGGGTGGGACCAGACAGGCGGGCATCTCAAGAGTGCCAAGCTCCTGGGGCCACCGTGGACCAAGCCAGATTCTCTCCCCAGAGGGCTGGAGGACAGGTTGGTATGCAGATATAATGAGGCTCCTGCGGTTTAAACAAAGGGCCCAATGATTTGGTCTAAACTTGGAGCTCTGTTCAGGCCTATTCAGGTTTTGCTGGGATGATGCATGCTGGTAGTTCCCAGAAGGCTTGCTTGGAGTGTACAGCAGGAATGGACCTGAACCTCTCTGTACCTGTGAATTGTCATCAAAATGCCATGTGCATGGGTCTGGTGGTGAACTAGGAGCTCGTCGCAGTCCAGGCACTGGGGAAGAAACTTTGTAGTCTGTAACCGGTGCCTTGTATTCCCAGCTCTCATCAGAACTTATTAATTGACTTGGAAGTAGCTTTAGGGTTTTTTCAGTGTAACCTTCTGGAACCACAGCCTTGTCTAAGCTTGTGCTGGACTGAATACTCCTCTTTGATCCTGCCCTGACAGGCCCTTTCTGGCCCCCTTCCTCTCCTCAATGGCATTTGTTTATACTTCATATCACGAGGAGCCTGCTTTTTCTGACCCCCCCCCCTTTAGTGCAGAGCAAATGCTACTTTCAAAATGTTGACTTGGATATGAACCTACAGTTGTTTAATTGAAAGTTCTTATTCGAACTTGTACAGTGTCATAGAACCCTGTCAATACTACTATATGGGGTTTAAAAATGTGCTTTGAAACAGTATTCGATTTTTTTATTTCTTGTCTTTCATTCTATTAACATCTGCAGTTGATAATTGAGGACATTGTTTTTCTGTTTTGAGTTTTTAAAAATGATTTAAAGGGACGATTTATTTTTAATTCTCCCTCCGTGTGTGTGTGTGAGTGTGTGTGTGTGTGTGAGTGCGCGTGCGCGTGCACGCATGCACGCACATACACTGTATGTTTGCAGGTGCCTGCAGAGTCCAGAAAGGGGTTTGAGCTCCTAGAGCTGGAGTCACAGGTGCATGTGGGTGCTGGGGACTGAAGATGCTCTTAGCTGGAGAGCCCCCTCTCGAGCCCTTGCTGCTTTGCATTTAAAAGTGATGCAGTCTGAGGTCTCTCAGGATCAGCCAGGCAGGGGCAGAAGGAACCCCAACACAGCCCAGACAGTGCCCTCCTCGTCCCCAGATTCAAAGCACTCTGGCAGGGGCCCTCTGGGTACCTGTCTGAGATAGCAAAGCAGCATAGCAAAGCAGCGTGTGAAAGAAATGAACTTTTAGAATTTCCTTGCCTGTTGGATGGTGTGAGGGGGGGGGGGAAATCCCCCAAAATGAAACCCCAAACACTGCCCGGCTCTCAGGCTGGCAAATGCTCCCTCCCATTCCAGCCTGAATCCCACTGTCTTGTATTTTTCTAGTTCATAAGATTGGGTAATTGTGAACTTGAGTAACTGGCCATCAGATAATTGGCCATTGGTTACGCTGCTGAGTGGGCCCCTGAAAGTTTTCTTTAGAAACCCATGCCCTTCTGAGGTAATAGTCTTCATGAAGTGCTTTTTTTTTTGGGGGGGGGGTATCAGGGACAGGGTTTTAGGTTTTCTTCTAGTCCAGAAGTTTTATACAGGGACTGACACATAGAAGTTGAAACCCATTAAAATCAGAGCTCTTACCATGGGCTGCACCGCTCCTGAGGCACCAGACACGGTAGCTATTTCTCTGTGCCCTGGATGTTGGCGAAGGGCGGCCTCAGCCAGCCACTGGCTTCAGTCCACGCTCACGAGGGGCACCCCCATAGGTGTGAACCGCTGAGTTGGAGGCTGGAATCTCGCCCGCCCCGGTGAGCCCCTCCATGAATGCAGCCTGTGGAAGTTCATCCTCTCCCTTTCCAATGTCCCAAGTCATCTCTTGATGGAGCTGTGTCAAGTCCTGCAAAGCTGGGAGGCCCCAGGCTTCGCTGTGTCTGGGGTGACCATACCACCTTCCTTTTGCGTTTCTCGGTAGGACTGTGGTTTTTGTTTCAAAGCTACTGTTCCTGGAGAAGCCTGCCAAGGAGAAAGCCTCTCTCTCATTTTTCTCTTCTTCTACAGTCTGTTTCCTTTTACCGTCACCTGGGAACCCTTTGCCTGGCTTGAATGTATGGAAAGATTGCAGCCTTTATTTAAAGATTTTTATTGGATCAGGTTGAACATAGAATACATCTGGAAGCACGATTTTAATCTCTAATTCTATCTGTAAATGTGAGATGTGTCGAAGAGGAGCAGTTCTCCACAATTCACCACTCAGAGGCAACTAGATTTTTTTTTTCCCCTCCATTGTGTAGAAGGTATACATGGCTGAACATCCCTTACCAGAGGTTATGAAACCCAAGAGGCTCAACATTGGAAAGTTTTTGAGAGCCACCGTGGCAACACAAGTGGAAAATTCCACGTCTGACTTCACATGATAGGTCATAGTCAAAACAAAGGTTAATAAAGATATGTAGGGTCACCTGGGTCACCTGCAGGCTGTGCACTTAAGGGGACTGTGGTACACATATGAATTTCATGCTTAGTCCAGGGACCAATCCCCAAGAGACCTCATTATTTAAAAACGGTCCAAAATCCCAAAAGCTTCTGGTCCCAATCATTTAGATCAAGGAAATGTAATTACATACATACATACATACATACATACATATATATATATAGTTGTGATCCCATAATGCATTTTGGGATCTTGTTCAGTAAAATCTGTTTTGTACAAATACATCGTTCTAGTGATTAAAATTATCGTTATTAAAATTTGAGACGAGAGTGTAACCACAAGCCTTTAGAGTTAACGGACCTTTATGTGTGAGTACCCTTACCCAGACTCGTGCAAAGTGCTGGTTCAGTATCCTTGTCTCTACGCTGTTACACATGGCTAATTTTACACTAGGGAATCTTCTTGCTTACATATGGACTAAGTTTGGGATCATTCCAGTACTTAGGGCTGCTTTTGTGTTACCTTGGAAGAGGTGCCAGGCTGGTCTCAACACTGGGGCCGTTAGGGATCTGAAAACAGGGTTGAGTAACTGGGGAACGAGACTTTCCGAGTCTGGGATTGTTGCCCGGGTAGCCAGGTGTCTACCTCCTCCACGGGATTTTCGGAGTAACCCTGGGATGAGGCCGTTCCCTTCCCTGGGGAGAGCTTGGTGGATCCCGGACAGTATCTTCACTCTGAAATAGGGCTGACAGATGGCCAAGGAAAGGCTGGCTGTGAGTAGGGGCGACGGAAAAGGGATCCACCCTCCTCCAGGGGCAAGTGCTGCTTGCATTTTGTCTGGCTGCAAATCATTTTGCCTGTGATGGGCTCAGTCAACCCAGTAATTTAAAAACAGGAAATCAAAGGCTTCCAGCACAGGGACC